CGCTTCGATCGGGATCAGTTTGGCGTCCCCGCCCGCCCAACAAAATCGGCGGTCTTCCTCACCACACCAGTTCAGGATTTTCTTTAGAGCCCGTCTGGATGCAGGCAAACTCCCCGCACTGAAAAACTCTGCAGTTGTGTCTAACATGTTTGGTATCCCACTAGCCTTTGGAAGCCCGATGTCCCGCAAGAAAGTTTTTCATTTCAGCGGCCGCATGATCGAATGAGGTTCCGAATCGCAGCACTGGGGGTCCTATTGGGGCCCTCTGAGGTTCTCTTGTTGCTCTTTTAGGGCCTCCCGGACCCTCCCTCACGAAGCCTCCTTGACGCTATCTGATGGCATCAGAGGCTGATTAGAAGCCAACAAGGAAGTGACATTCACATCATTGTTTTTGGATTTGCAATCATTCTGGACTCCTCGGGGCCTCCTTGGAGGATATCGTGGGCCATCTTGGAGGCATCTTGGACTATCTGGCCCATGATGGGCTTTGGCGACCTTGGAGCCGACTTTGATTAGTCTTGTTGCCGTCTTGGACTGTCTTTGGGCGACCGTGCGCCGTTTTTGTAACTTCTGTACGCCGTCATGGTGGCCGAGGTGAGGAGGGAGATGCGTCGGCAGCACACCCTCTCTAGCAGACGCAGCAAAAACAATGTGCTCCTTTCCGATGAAAGCTCGCTCGGGCAAGGCCCCGGCGCCTCTAGGGGGGCTCGGTCGCATCTACGTCGCCCGCGACCATTTTGGATAATGATGATGATGATGGTGATGGTGATGATAATGATGATGATGATGATGATGATGATGATGATGATGATGATGATGATGATGATGATGATGACGATGACGATGATGATGATGATGATGATGATGATGATGATGATGATGATGATGATGCTGATGCTGATGCTGATGCTGATGCTGATGCTGATGCTGATGCTGATGATGACGATGCTGATGCTGATGCTGATGATGATGATGATGATGATGATGATGAGGAGGAGGAGGAGGAGGAGGAGGAGGAGGAGGAGGAGGAGGAGGGAGGAGTAGGAGGAGGAGGAGGAGGAGGAGGAGGAGGAGGAGGAGGGGGATCGGCTGCATAACCAGGAACCTTGAATCTAATAAAAGGGGAGGATAAGGAATGGGGGACGAGGCATAGGAGTTCAGAGGCCGGCAGCGTATGTGCGCCCGTGTGTGTGTGTGTGTCGCCAGCCCAGTCACTCTGCTTAGCCGCCGACGCAAAGAAGTGTGTGTGTGTGTGTGTGTGTGTGTGTGTGTGTGTGTGTGGGCGTCTACGCGGTCAGCTTCCGCCCGCCAGTGCTTGAACGCGGTCACTTGTGCACGCGTGATCGTGGAGGGCGGAAGTCTATGTATGCGTATGTGCAGCGCAGGAGGAGGAAGATGAGGAGGAGGAGGAGAGGGAGGACGAGTCGGTGGGAAGGCAAGAGGGATGATGAAGACGTGGCAGGGGGTGAGGAAGAGGAGGAGGAGGGGGACCACTGTCAACCCAGCTCACATCACTGATGCTGCAATACTCTCTTTTCCATCCCAAGTCTCCTTGTCATTTAAGTCGATACAGATGGCTGTTTTCACAGAGAGAGAGAGAGAGAGAGACCATCATAACGCGAACTTGCTAAGAAAGGTGGGGGTCCCGTGGGCGGTTGGGCATGCCGCAGGTTCATGACCTGGGATGGCTGGAATGATGATCGCCCGATGGTTTCGCCACGACTTGGGGGTAGGAAGGCTGGTGGAGTTAGAACCTTACGGCTCTACCAGAGGAAGCGTCAGGAAGCGACATGGCTGTAGGTTTTGCATTGCGCAAGACAGATGACAGCAAGACTCGACTATGCGGCGTGGCATAACACTGTCGTGCATGTAGTTGGCAGGCGCTTTGAGACAAGGGGGCGGCACCGAAGCGAGAGCACGACTTCGAATTATAACCTCCCGCTGTTCCAGTACATTTTGAAAGCTCCAAGATGTATGAGCGTACAATGCGAGGACATCTCGGCAAGAAACGGGAGCCACTGTCCACCCGTGCAAGAATGAGACGTTGGAAATAGCGTGCCGACAGTAGCGAGGACGCCTCAAGCGGCCGCCCGATTTCGAAAGCGAGCCGTCTATCTTCCATTTCGATGTTGAAAAGGGTCAAGGTGTACATTAGGACACGGTAAGTTCTGGCGTGGACAAGATCATGAAAGCCAAATTTTCCCCCCCATCCGACAACTTATTCCAAGCGTCGAGATAGTCTCAGGCGGGATCCATAGTTGGAACATCGTCGCCCTAAATCACCAAGGTGGTCTTGTTAGCTTCGAGAGGATTTGGAATCGTATGTCGCGAATTCTGGTTGTCGTCCTGGTGCCCGATGCGTGGTGCACCATCATTGTTGCCCTACGATGCCCCTGGCTGTTGCGGTATCTGGCTGCTGCCCGGGTGCCTTGTGGCTGGTGGCCTGTGGCCGTTGCCTTACGAAGCCCCCATCTGTTGCGACTTATGGTTGCCGCCTTGGTGTTCATTTGCCGGTGTACGGCGATGCCCCACTTGTAGATGTTTCATGGTTGCGGCGAGCTCTGCTTGATCCCTTAGGCCCAGGGCTCGTGCGTTTTGATGCACGGTTGTGGTGAGTTCTGGTTGCCGTTCTGCTGCAATTTGGCGGGTGCCCTGTGATGCCTCAGTCGGCGGTGCTTTCTGGGTGTCGCGAGATCCGAGGTCTGGTTGCGGCCCTTGTGCCTCGTGGCTGCTGTCCCACGATGCTCCAGTCGTCGATGCCCGTGGCTGGTGTCCTCAGTTGCTGCCATTTCTGGTTGCCGCCTCGGTGCCCAATGGCTGGTGCTCTGCGGCTGTCTGCACATCGAGCGTGCAGTAAACTGCTACGTGGGGTCGACACTGACAATCACGTGTTTTCCAATATGCAGGATCCCAGTTTGAGAGCAAGTTTTAGGCGATAAGGCATGCTTTAAAAGAGAGCTGCTCTCCATCCGTGTCGAGCTGTTGGAGTTATCAGGCTGTATGACCAGCAGGTGTGAGGAAGACCAGCGCGATACGCTGGTTTTGTAGGCCGCTCGCCGTCCACCCAGGCAAATGTTCGCTCGTACAGTTTCAGCATGCACAAGATTGTCGCGAGAGGCGGTGCTCGAAAACTACCCGTGCTCCATGCGCGTCATTCTCGGAAAATTCCAAGCTGTAGAAGCATGAGTTGTGATGAGATCTCAGGCGCATTGATAACATCGCCCTTTCGACATGATGGTGCGGGGATGGGAAGGGGACCACTTCACGGGGAGGAGGAGGAGGAGGAGGAGGAGGAGGAGGAGGAGGAGGAGAAGGAGGAGGAGGAGGAGGAGGACGGGGTGGAGGAGGAGGAAGAGGAGGAGAATAAGTTGGAGGAGGAGGAGAAGGAGGAGGAAAATGATGATGATGCTGATGCTGATGCTGCTGCTGATGATAGTGATGGAATGATGAGGACGATTATACTGATGACGATGGCAATGATGATGATGCTACTGATTGTGATCATGATGATGGTGATGATAGTGATGATGATTCTGCTGACTATGATGATGATGCTGATGATGCTGATGATGATGCTGATGCTGATGAAGATGATAATGACGATGATGATGCGGATGAGGATGCTGCTGCTGCTGCTGATGATGATAGTGATGATGATGATGATGATGATGATGATGATGATGATGATGAGGATGAGGATGAGGATGAAGATGATATGCGATAAGTGGATGAGGATGAAACGACGAGGGGGGGAATGATGAATGGAGAGTTGAGGAGTACCCGTCGGAGCACGAGGTGTGAGGGGGAGGGGAGCGGAGCGGATGACGCTAGCGCTGTAGCGGGAGCACGATTCGGAACGAGCGGAAGCGCGGAAATGAGGCCGGCGCTGCAGCGGGAGCACAGTTCGAAACGTGCGGTAGCCCGGAAATGAGGCCAGTTCTTCAGCGAGAGCACCATTGGCGGAAGCGCGGACATGAGGACGCGTAGCCTGACATAGCATGGCGTGGCGACGCCCCAAAGTGGGGGGGGTCTTCCGCGCACCCAAAAACCAACAAATCGACACCGAATGTGTAATCACTTCCGATGGTTTTTTCGAGGGGGCATTGTCTAGATTTTGGGGCCTATTTGGAAGGACTGAAAACCATGCCGTGGCATGGCACTCGAAATAATGACGTAGCGCTGCAGCGGGAGCACGATTCGGAACGAGCGGAAGCGCGGAAATGAGGCCAGCGCTGCAGCGGGAGCGCGATTCGGAACGAGCGGTAGCCCGAAAATGAGGCCAGTGCTTCAGCGAGAGCAGCATTTTGAAAAACAGCTCAGCGCGGAAGCGCGGAAATGAGGACGCGTAGCCTGACATAGCATGGCGTGGCGACGCCCCAAAGTGGGGGGTCTTCCGCGCACCCAAAAACCAACAAATCGACACCGAATGTGTAATCACTTCTGGTGTTTTTTTCGGGGGGGCATTGTGTAGATTTTGGGGCATTTGGAAGGACTGAAAACCATGCCGGGGCATGGTACTCAAAATAATGACGCCAGCGCTGAAGCGGGAGCACGATTCGGAACGAGCGGAGGCGCGGAAATGAGGCCAGCGCTGAAGCGGAAGCACGATTCGGAACGAGCGGTAGCCCGAAAGTGAGGCCAGCGTTTCAGCGAGAGCAGCATTTTGAAAAAACACAAGCGAAAACTCAAATCCCGGGAATCCTCTGTGTAAAAAACCAGTATGCGGAGGGGGGCCAGACATTTTCCGGACGCCACCAGGGGAGAGAGGAGATTAGTATTCATATTGTTTAATTGTATGGGGGAGGAGCAGGAGGATGAGGAGGAGGAGGAGGTGGAGGAGGAGGAGGAGGAGGAGGAGGAGGAGGAGGAGGAGGAGGAATGGGAGGAGGAGTGGGATAAGGACACGCACGAGGGGCAGGAGGGGAGCAGGAGGGGAGGTAGAAGGACGGGGACGTGGGGTCAGTTCGTCTGTGGAAGAGACCGCAAGTGGCTCCTGGGAGGACCGCAAGCAGGCTCAGCAGACAGTGCCGGAGCTCGTCGTTCTGTCCTGGCTGCGCCAAACCATCGCGGGCCTGAGGCATCCGACCCCCTCTGCATCTCCTTTCCCCTTGTGCTGCTCCTCCTCCTCTTCCTCCTCCTTTTCGTTCCGACTGCTGCATCTGTTGGGTGTGACACTTGCCCAGCAGTTGCGAGCTCGACTTGCGCCTTCTAGGACGACCGAAGCGATTGTTCTTTTCGTCTTTCCCTTGCGGCCTGCATCCTACGCGAGCGCTGCGCACGTATCCTGGCCGTGGCCCCCAGCTGTACCTGTTCGAGGGCTGCCGAAACTGGGACAGTCTTTTTTTCTGTGCGATTCCTTCTGAGGAGGATGAGGACGAGAAGAGAGGATGAGGGAACGGTGGATCTAGATCCATGCATTTTTTCGGGGCGCGGTGGGTTGCACTGAAGCCTCCAGGGACCTTTGGAGATTTCTGAAGGCCTCTTACTGCTCATCCTTGTCGTCCATCTGCTGCGGCTGCTGCTGCTCCTCCTCCTCCTCCCGCGTGGCGTTTCTCTCCTTTTCGCCCTTTCCCTTCTCTCACTTCTGGTTCCATTCTTGCTGCTGCTCTTTCCATCTTGTCCTGAGCACCCTATGTTTGTAACCGCCGCGCGGGCCCCCACCAGCCCATCTAGCCTCCATGTGTGGCCTTGTCCAGTGCGGCCCAGTCTCGTCCTGTCTGACCGCGGTCGGCGGAATCAGGTGTTGGCGGGGAGCCTTGCAGTTTTTGTGCCGCTCTGGTCCTGTCGGTCTTGCTTGACACGAGAGCCGATTCCCCACGAGATCGAGGGCCCTTTTTTTAAGCGGCGAGGCATAACGGCTGCTCCAGCGGGTAGCGATTCGGGGCGACCGGAAGGCGAACTGGTCGGCGTGCAGGAGGGGGAGAACGAGACAAGGCTTAAGTCGGGCCTGTCCCTTTACAGGAGGTATATATATACATATATATATATATATATATATATATATATACACGAATAGTCCAATCATAGTCTGGGGACCTGTTTGATTTTTTTTTTTGTTTTTCTCTCCCATTTTCATTTTTCGTTCAAAACCTGCCTGTATGGGGGACATGCCCGACCTAAGACAAAGGCGGCCGCGCGGAGGACAACCCTTGTAAGACATCGAGGGCACGCGGGCCTGCCGAGAGTCAGCACCGTGAGGCAGTCGGGGGTGATGACCTCGGGTGGCCCCGCCCCGTCCGCTCTGTCGTGCTGGCAGCGCGGGGCGGCCCGTGGAGGCATGCCACGCGCGGCGAGGCAGTGCACCCAGGCTTGCATTGCGTCCGCTGCCTGGTGTTAAGTCGGGCCTGTCCTCTGCATGAGGAATATTCAGAAATAGTAAAAATATAGTCGGGGGACGATTTTTGGGGTATTTTTGAGCATCTTTCGATTTTTTTTTACTATCTGTTCTTTTTCGTCCAAAATCCGCCTGTAGGGGGACATGCCCGACCCAAGGCGGGGCCACGCTGGGGAGGGACAGGCGCAGGGGGGATGCATCGACCCCCAGTCGCCCGCTGATCGCCGAGGGGGGCACGACAGTCCATCCCGCTCCAGACCGTGCGATTTTTGCGCTCCGGGGCCTGTCGCCGATGTGTCGGCGATGTATCGCCGATTCCAGTTCGAGGTTTCCCCCCTGAGCTGACCCGCCCGATCGCCCCCCCTCACAGACGGGTGCGAAGGTGGGCATTCAAAGGTCACGCGATCGTCGCAGCTGTTGGGACGAGGCGCAGAAGCGGATCTATCGGCGGCACTTGACGTCAAGCACGCGGGGCCCGGTGCCAAGGTAGGGAGTGTAAAGTTGCGGGCCCTTTTGGCGAGCCCCCGACCAAGAAGGTCACGAGGTCTTACATCGTTTCCGCAAGGGGGAAGACTGCCAAATCGTACAGTGAAGCCGCTCATGGGCCGTACTGTTCCTCTTGCATGCTATTCCTCGTCCGATCGTGGATGACATTGCCGAATCAGTTCTGTCGAGTGCGTCTGCTTCCTCCGACTCAACGGTGGTGCGTCTTCCTTTTCCTGCTGCATGGGCGGCGCCCTCTCACGAGAAACTCGTTGTGGCGCTCGTGGAGAGGACTCGTACCATCAATGCTTTGAGTAAATACCAGCAACACGTTTCGAGCAAGTGATACAATGCCGTGCGTTCTCCCGTCAGGGCATTCATTTCTGTTATGTTCCTCCTCTTCTTCGCACTCTTCATCGGCCGCCGTTTCCATGCCATCGAAGTCATGTTCCTCCTATTGCACCCCTGCCTCCTTGTTCCTCTTCCTGGGGCGCCACTGACAGGCATATGCACGCGCACGGCGTCATACACCGTGACCTCAAGAGCTCGAACATTTTTCTCAGCGGAGGTAGGCGGGTGGCTCGGATCGGGGACTTTGGCATCTCGAAGGCGGGTCGGGTGGCATTGGGCGACCGGGCAGGTTGGCGGTGTAACAGCCCAGCAGGAGTCCTTCTCTGATCGGTCCTGCTCGATGCGTGGAAGCGTGTGCCTGAACGCGGGGTGCGAGGGATGATGTGCTGGTGCATGTTTAGGTTTCCGAGGAGACTGCGTCTTGGGTGGAAGGGCGCAGGGAGATAACGAGAGAGCCCTTCCCCACACATCCAGTGGTTGCAGTCGCACGCTCAAGCGGTATTGCCGCCGCTCTTTCTCCTGTTCCTCCTTCTCCACGCCTTCGTGGTGCTCACTCTCTCCCCTCCTTCAGGGCAACGCTCGCCTGCGCAAGTGCTGATCCGTTGTGGCGGAGACGTTGACCATGACAGGCACCCCCGAAGGCGTTGGCCCTGGCAGAGTGGGCTCCTGGGTCGGTAAGCTGTTTCTCGCGCGGCGAGCTGCTCCCACGGACGTCGGGTACGGACGGACATCACGTCTTCCGTCGTCGTGAGGCGCATGCCCTCACGAGATCCGACGACAAGGTACCCACAAAGCACAACGCATGCAGTGCGAGCCCATGCCAAGAAACACCCTGCCTGCCTCCAGGGTTCCCTGGGTTTCTTGGGCCTCGATGGTTATTGTGTGGAAAGCGCGGCGTGCCCACGCCGACCATCCATGGACGTCCTGGGGTCTCAGGGTTGGGTTTCTCGTGGAAGGTTCCTTGTGAACTGGCCTCCGCTGCACTACAATCTGAGGCAGGCGTGCAGGGCAGAGGCGGGCATGCACAGAGCCACGATGGGAGAGAACCCGCACGCCCGTGTCTGATCAGTGCTCGTGCGTGCCGTGTGTGCAGAACCGCTCTGCGCGCCAAGGCCACGCCTGTGCTGTTTTTTCGTCGGACACATCAGGATGGCACCGAGGGAGGGAAACAGCGAGACCGGTTGGACCGATTGGCTAAGCAGTGTGCATGGGGTGAAAGAGATTAGCAGATGCCTCGACGGGCAAGCAGCGCCTGGAGCTGCGGTGGCACTCTCTCGCCTCGGGAGCAATCCAGCTTCAAGGCGGGCGCTGTTCTCGCGTCCCTTCCTCGTCATCGGCTAGGAGGGGGCGGCCAACTGTATTCCTGCCGCACGAAACCAGCACGTCAAATCGTAGTGATCCCACGTCTGTGGAGACTGGTCGAGTGTCTGTGCCTCCCCGCATGCACTCTGCGCGCGCCACCAGCTGGTATCACGCTAGACTGTACACGCAATGGCCAGGGCAGGGGTTCTGGGATGCCGTTGCCAACCTCGACGCCGGCACGGTCGTCGGTCAACGGGTGCAATGCCGACCAGCTCTGATTGATTCCAACCGATGCTGAGGCCTGGAAAGAGAGAGAGAGAGAGAGAGAGAGAAAAAAGAGAGAGAGAGAGAGAGAGGGAGAGAGAGCACGCGCTCGCGTGGACGGCGGGGGGACGCTCCTTGATGGCCCACTCGCAGCGCCAGGGGTCCGCCAGCGCGGCCAACTCGAGAGCTTTCCAAGACCTGGCTCAGTTGGGAAACTGCCGTGGCCTCCCACAGCTCGGTCGAAGGAGCCTCCTTCCCCCATCGGAGAAGGCCTCGCCCTCCGCAGCAGCCTCGCCGGCCCCCTCGTCGACCAGGGCGCAGGCCCGAATTAGCACACGGCCGATCTCAGGAGCACTGCCTCCCTCGAAATGGGAGAGCACCGATCTGATCCCTGCGCCGCTGGCGTCCCGACGTAAAATCACCAGGGCAGCCCTGCTGCCGCTCCCCCCTGGAGGACCCGACTCGCACCCGCGGCCTCCCGAGCCCGACGAGGAGTCCGAGCACGGAGAGCAGCACGTCTCTGATGGCCCCTCGGGCCTCGGGCCCCTCTGAGGCGAGCCTCGGGCCTGCCTCAAAGCGAGAGCGCCCGCGCCTGGAGCTCCGACCTCGGCACAGTCTGCCGGCAGCCTCCCCGCGCGGAGCAATACTCCGCCTGCTGGGGCCACGCCCCCCCGTCGGCTGGCGGGGTCACGATCGCGGCGCCGCTCCCTCTCCGCCCGGGGTCCGAGCTGTGGCCCCCTCCAGAGCCCCCCCTACACCACCACCTTATCTCGGCGGCGAGCGAGGGGGGGAAGTGAGAAGGAAAAGGCCTTCTCAGAAGGCGGTGGGGCTTCTCAGAAGCCCTCGCGCCTTAGGAGGAGTTTCCTGTGTCTTCGGGGAAGGCTCAGAGAACTTCTCAGAAGGCTGGGGGGCTTCCGAGCCTTCTGAGAAGGCCCGCTCCTTCTCACTTCCCCTCCGGGCTCGCCGCCGATTGTCGTACACTGTTTGGTGGCGGGGGGGGCAGCAGGGGCAATCGGGCAGGGGCCATATTCTACCGCTGCTTCCATCGGAAAAAGGGAGTGTCCTTCGGGGTGTGGGTCCCAGACCCGCAGGAGTGACGCCGCGCACGCAGAAACAGGGGGTCTATTCGTGCTGGGCGACCTCCTGATGACAAAGGGACGCTGACGTGCCGGACTCCGGGCCTCATGATCCAGAGTCTCAGCTTGGCACCTGCACCCCGGACAGTCCCACGCAACCTCGTAGCTTGCCTAGCCTGCTCCTGCCTAGTTCTGGGCCTTTGGCCTCCCGAAGTAGCAGGATTCTGCCACCGTGCCCGATCGTACAGGCCTTTGCCATGAAGGCTTCCCCGCCTGGCCATACAGAGATCACCACCCCCAACACCGCCCCTCCACATTCGAAGTGCTCTGAGGCGTGGCGCCAGAGTGCGGCTGAAATGGAATCTCACAAGTCATCAAGCTAGTCACTAAACGCAGAATGATTGGGACAAAGCGACAGAACGAGGAGGAGGAAAAGGAAGGGGATGATGAGGAGGAGGAGCTCCGTAGCCATTTTGGCTCAAGGAGCCGTAGCCATTTTGGCTCAAGCCATTTTGGCTCAAGCCCCATTTCCAGACAGCCATGCAGGGGCGCTGGGACACGCGGCGCCATGGAGGATGGCAGTTCAGTGAGCAGCACCAGCAGTCGCAGCATCAGGCAAAGCAGCAGCACTGGCGGCATCCGACCGCAGTGAAACGAGAGGACAGCAGTTGGAAACAGGCAGCTCCGTGGAGAGTGCCCCATGGAGGAAGTGCTCCCAGTGCCGTGGGCGAGACCCGCGGCCACCACAGCAGCAGCAGAAACAGATGCAGCAGCAGCAGCAGCAAAGAGAAGCCTCAGCCCACAGGCGGTCTGGCAGGCGGAGACGGCAGACACCAGCCCCGAAGAGAAGGGCACCGTCGGCCGCTGCAGCTTGAGCAGCGGCGGCAAGCAGACCAGGCAGCGATGAGATGAAGCGCGTCATCGAGAACGTTCCCACGGCGCTTGCTGCCGCCGCAAGCGTACATGCCGCATGCGTCAAGCCCCATGAGCGGCCAGCATGTGGAGATCCAGCGAAGTGGCATCGAGAAGCGGAACGAGGACCTAGCGGTCTACTACATCGCGGCCGAGGCTCCGGGCGACGACACTACTGACATCGTGATGGAGATTTATGTCAACAAGCGTGTCCTCCTCGAGATGAAGCCTGCCTGTCGAAGACGGAAGGAGATGACTCGCCAGCTCGAGTACTTTGACAGGCAGATCTTTCATAGCAGTAACGAGCTGAGCAGGTGGGAGGACGAGCTCAGCGCATGGGGGGATAAGCGCACCCACGTGCTCAGTCTGATGGAGGAGACCAAGGAGTCGGATGACGAGGCCGAAGAGGAGGATGCGGACGCGGAGAGCGCGGTGGTACTTCCAGGGGCAGGGGCGAATATGAGACAAGAACAGCGAGGCCTCCGATAAGTACGAGGACGTCAGGACCGAGCGGGGCAGGGCATGCCCCCCAAGCAGCTGCCGCGCCCAGAAGGGAAGCCGAGGAGGAGCGGACGAACAAGAGGCGGGCAGACAGTGAAAGTAGTGACATCAAGGGGGCGATGAGGGGCTTGATGAAGGTAGTGGAGAAGCGGGCCGACGAGAGCAGGCAGCTCGAGAGAAGGATGAGCGCGAAGATGGGGGCGATGCTCTCGAACGGGGCCCGCGACCTCCACGAGTCTGCAGAAGAGAGCAAGGACATAATTAGGCGGAACCAGCAAGAGGAGCTCCAAGAGGCTGAGGCAGCCGCAAGTAGAAGGGAGATCACGAAGCACTGAGAGGACCTCGACGCCAGGGTCTCGGAGATCAGAAGGCAAGCTCGGGAGGAGTGCCAGGCGCAACGGAGCTCTTTCCCGGGGGGGCGCGCGAGGTACAAGCGTATGCGCGAGGAACTCCGCGAGGAGGCGATCAGCAGAAACGAGGGCGTCCAGAAGGAGCGCTTCAGGCTGGAGAACTACCTCCGCATGCAACGCGCCGAGAAGGAGAGGGTCGAGAAGGAAGACAGAGAGGTCCACGAGGCGGGGCAACGCCAGCTGATGAAAAAGGTGCAGCAAGCCAGGAACGATGCAACGAAGTACGAGCACATGGCATACGATCAGCAGCAGCAGCACCGGCAGCAGCTCCATCGACTGACCTCAGTGGCCCAGCGGCGCATAGCGCGCCGGCAGAGCGTCCGGCAGCACTTCCACCAAGCGGTCATCGCACAGCGCAGCGCGGACAACGAGCGAGTGCAACAAGCGCAGGCCGTGCGAGAGCAGGAGCTGCAGCAGGTGTTGACCCTCAAAGAGAAGCAACGAGAGGAGGGGCGGCAACCGCGCCAGCATGCGTCGAGCTGATCAGGGCCATCGATGCGAACCTCAGAGCGGCGGCCGCAGAGAGCAGCACCCCAGACTCAGACCTGGGAATAGGAGTGGGCTTGTCTGACGATCACGCGTGGCAGGGGCGGGCGAGCATGGGGCAGGAGCCTGCGATCCCCGCCGTCACGATCGACCAGGTCAGCGTAGTGCCCATGTACCCCAGGTCCGATGCCACCGCCGTGCCGCGCAACGAGGAGGAGGGCGAGATAGAGGCGGCCATCGCAGCCCGTGTGATCAGCAGTGAGCTCAGCCAGCTCGATAGGAATGCGGTTCAGGCTCGACGCGAGCG